AAATAAATACTCTTAATGTTAATCAATCCTGATAAATTTTATGTGAGATGTGGACATGGGTTAGTGTTATTATAATCCGAAGACAGAATCAAATTATCTCGATTCGTTTTTAAGTTATGACCATTATGGACATTTATTTCTGAACGCCTTGTTACAATGTTATGTTTGTAATGACTTTTTCTATAAAAACTTGTTATTTTGCGTTCAATTGTAAGTTCAGAATAAAAGTTGATTTCATTGAATGCATAGAGAATAGGGTTTGAATGGAAACAGAACTATGAAAATGTGAGGCAATGCTTGAGTGCAACCAATACTGACAGCACATCCAACACATCCTCTAAACAACAAAAACTCCTCAATTTATTTACAAATGTTTTTGTTTTGAAAATTTTGGTGTTTTGTGTCTGAAAATTATATAACAAATTAATTGTGCCATTGATTAGCGTTTTTATAGCCAAAAATGTTTTTGCTATCATTTGTTTCGCACATAAAATGCTTAACGAGTTTATTGTCACCAAAAACTATAGTAAACGACATTTCATAACAAAAAATCACATGTTTTTTATTGTTTTCAATTCATAACACATTTTCATTCAATAATTGATTGCATTTTGCAATTCATTGATCGCAATGTCTTCGGATGTGAAGAGACGACAACGAGGTGTGAATAGACAGCGAGATGTGAGCGATGACAGCGTCTCTTCAGATGTGGGAACAGCTCCAGAAACGGCGCCTCAGAGGCCGCCTAAAGATGGTATTGTGAAGCGAGTGATGAGCCGAATGGCACTCTCGATGGCCATTCTTGTGGCCGTCTATTTGACCACTAAATCCAGTGATACGACTGAACTGGTGATGGCGTCGGCCAAGCAGTCCATAAAGGGATCGCCGGTCGGACAGGAAGTGCTCTGTTCTCAGGACTACAACGAAGACAGACTTGAGTTCAAGTCATGTGCGCCCAAAACGTGCGGCCGTTTTGTGTCGGACGCCGTCCAGAGGCTTTGCCTCCGGTTTGTGTACGATAGCGACCGCTTCTCTCCTAATAGTAACCCACCCAGAAGCCCGCCGCGGAGTTAGGACCTGAATGTGTGGCCGCGGGAAAGCTACCTGTGATTAAAGCTTAATATCTATAAATTGATTGAAAGTAAACCACAAAATGCGGCCATTTTTACCGAAAAGGATTTTGAGGTCTACAGAGCTCAATCCTGGACTTACACACCGGCGCCCTTTCGATGGACACTAATTTCGTTAATATCTATAAATTGATTGAAAGTAAACCACAAAATGCGGCCATTTTTACCGAAAAGGATTTTGAGGTCTACAGAGCCGTGAAAAACAAAATCCTTCAGACAATTGCCATTCATTTTGGTGTTTCTCCCAAACACTTGTACTTAACTGATCCGACATTCTTCTCGCGCCTGACCTCTGCCGCGGCTCAAACCAAACACGACGAGTATTGGCACAAACATGTGGACAAACAGACCTATAAGTCCTTTCATTACACGTCGTTATTGTATTTGACGACATTTGGCTCAGACTTTACGGGCGGGCGTTTCATCTTTGCCGACAAAGAGTTGAACAAAAGTATAGCAATTGAACCCAAGTTGGGTCGAGTGTCGGCCTTCACGTCGGGCTCAGAGAACGAGCACTTCGTGGAGCGGGTGTCCACCGGAACCCGATATGCCATTACTGTCTCATTCACTTGCGATCCAAAGCACGCCATCAGTGACCCTAAGATGGGTCACAAATTTTCACGTCGGGCTCAGAGAACGAGCACTTCGTGGAGCGGGTGTCCACCGGAACCCGATATGCCATTACTGTCTCATTCACTTGCGATCCAAAGCACGCCATCAGTGACCCTAAGATGGGTCACAAATAGTGATTTCATCCATAGTGTTATTAATTGAAGACAAAACAAATGTTTGTTTAATTTTTTGTTTATTTATTCAAAGTTAAAACTTTATGTCCAAAGTTTGATAACCGGTTGTAATGAGTGCTCTATTAGTTATAATTAATATACGGATTAACAGTTATTTTGTACTTTTTAAAAAATGTCAATCTTTTCTCTATTATTAAATATATATAAGTTATTGAAGTATTTGGAAATTATTTAAAATATAAAAACAAGAAAAAAATCACAAACAATTTGAGCATAAAATAAAATGAGTAAACAATAAGTACTTTTCCATCTGCGGCTGAAGACACTAATAATTGTATTAAATGGTAATTAATTGCTAAATAAATAAAAACAATCTCTGATTAAAAGTGTGTTATAAATGACTGACCAATCAATTAAAATACAGATTATTAATTAAATATAGAGTAAAAATATTAAATATTAATTAAGGTTTGCATTACATTATAAGTCGTTTAAAATTACATAAATGTTAAAATCGAGAAAAATATATCTAATTATGCGAATAGTTTAGTGGTATTTATGGATCAAATCTCGCCGAAGTTCATGTGTCCGGTTTCTGTGGCGTGACTTTGGGCCTGACTGTTGCCCCGGAGGCCGGCGTTACACACGAGACATCGCAACGAAAAATTCTGCACATCTGTGTACTGACGGCTCGCTTTGGCCTCATTGGCGATCTCCAGCGCCATCGACAGAACCGAATCGTTGGCCACCGGAAACACCGTCTGAATGGGATTCTTGCTGTCCAACGGTTCCCACATTAACGGGTCGTAATGAATGCCATCGTAGATGAGAAAAATTCTCTTATCGTGAGCCATGTCTTCGCCAAAACGATTGAGTCGGACGTGTTGTGTATCGACGGCCACTATTTCGATGCCATAATACTTGGATAGAATGGACAGTTCAATAGCTCCGCCCCAATGCTCTTCGTTGAGAATCCACGTGCAGTACTCGCGGTTGGGTTTGCCTAACAGGGCTTCGTTGTAGGCGAAGGGGTCGGCGGCCACCGTATCGGCGATGATCTGCCGCAGAGCCGAACCAATCGTGTCGTTGAACTCACCGCCCGATAGAGCGAAATACACGGACGTGAAGAGACACGAGTTGTTTGCGGGAACCACTCGTCGCATGAGAACACCGGCCGGAATGGTATCACTTCTGCCCGAAGACTGCATTACATCGGAATACGAGTGCGAAATGAGTTGATTGGAGAGGTTTGTGGACCGACTGCGCGACCGATGTTTATCTGAATGCAAAACATATGGCATGAATTGACACATTCAATGGCAACACA